TTTTATTTTTGATTTCTTGGCCTTTTGCTATCTGATTTCTTTTTAACTGAATCTAAGTTATCGACCTCATGCACTCTAATTTCTTGCTACTAACTATTAATGTGTAGTGTGTTCATTTGCTTTGGTTTAACTGAAAAGTAAAATATGTACATGGCAACATGATGTCTCGGTTTATCCGAAATAGTCAAAAATTAATTGAAAACCAAACCAAATAAGTTATATTTATTCAATAACTGAACCGTTTAATCCGGAAACCAAATAAGTTATACATTCATGGAAGCTTTAGGAATTCTTTTTTTTTTAATTAACCTGGATATCCAACCCGCTATTTGAGCCGACTAATCCCAGGGCGACCACTTGCTTTGCAGATAGCTCAGAGTCACCGCATTTGAACCTCCGTGGCCACAAGGGGATTTTTATTCCTCATTGGATTTGAACCTGGGACCTCCTGGTACTTTTGACCTTTGGAGCCAAGTTCAAACCAATCAGGCACCACCCATGTGGTTAGGAATTTTGAGAACATGATCTCTGGTTGGAGTAGATGCAAGATTAGGGTAGCAATAGCCTAAACAGGAGGAAGGGCGCTAGAGAGGTGGAGGGTGGGGGATAAGGTAGTAATAAGATAAATAGGGGATGTGTCGTCTTACCTTCTTTATGCATCTTCATATGGTGCTGCTAACTTTTCTCTAACCTTCATCTCTAGCCTTAGGGGGGGTTTACCATACCGCGCAAGAGGCTGTTACCTGGGCAAGAGGTTTGGCTGCTTACCGAACCAAAACTGATCTCTGACCGCTGACTGCACATCTAACCGGGGACAAGTATAGATAGATGCTTACTCCGGTCAGTGGCTTCCTATGTGTCCTCTCTCAATCTTTTTCTTCATGGCATTGAACAACAATGGTACCATACAAAAACAACCAGAAACATTTTTGTTGAAACCAAATCACTGGTTGATACAAATATCGGGCAACGTTCAAGTTGGATGGCGACGGAAATACTGCAAGGCTATCCAAGGAAAACCAGTGAAGAAGTTTGACAGCAAGGGAAACCGGCTTCCTGAAATCCATCATAAAGAAACAAAGAACTCAAAAGACATCGGCTCTTGTTGAAAATTAGGATGAAGTAAACCCTAAAAGCAAGTTCCAATCAATCCAAATGTAGGTGATTTACATGAGATCCGACAATGCTTATCACTAATCAAATCACCGGTTGATACAAATTTCTGACAATGTTCTTTGGTAGTCCTGAAATATGTGAAAACACAGTGGTTAACAAGCAGTCCGTAGTGGACAATGCAAGCGAACCCGGTTAGTTGGATTGTCATTCGAGTAATAGAGTGGTAAGAACCAGAATCGTACTTCAAAGTTTTCGGTATTAAGTAGAGAACTTACTGATTTCAATTAGAGAGGAAATATTTTTGAGTTGATTGGTGGAAATATGCTTTCCAACAAGTAAATAACAACATGAGGTGTGGTTGCAAGCATTACTGAAAAACTTGAGCACTCAGTCGAGTTTAGTGGGCACTCTATCGGGTATAATGAGCACTCCACTGCCATAGAGGACATTCTCTTCCAAGATATAACCTCAATAACAAGTGTATACTGTCCCTGTTGTCCCCACTGTCCCCATAAAGTGACCACTATGCTAACCCATGAATTTGTCAATGCGGTGATGATTACAGACCCTTCTGAGTCCATAAGCTCTAATAAGAGATGGTCCATATTTCTATGTCACACAAATACTCTACTGAAGTTGTACACAAATCACTACTTATTCTGCAAAACCCAGATTCTTTTGTGGCCATAAGAACTCTTCCAAGTTCCCTTGCATCACTCAAGCTATTGTCACTATGTGCAAACCCATTTCTGGGTCTAAGACTTGACATTTTGACACATCAAAGTGGGCAAAGTGTTTACTGCTGTCCCTTGGGCTTGCTCACACCCACACCCTTAAGATGACTATATCATGCTAAAAATAAAGAAAATAGTATAATTTCATAATCTCACCGTCTTTGGTTGTACTATATTTGTTTACTTTACTTGAAGATAAACTAGATGCAAGGGTTGTTAGGACAGGATGAATGTAAGATGTAGGATGGGGATTACCTTGAACCGTCTTGCATTCTCAGGTGGTATAGGCCAACCAAGGTCTCTGCGCTGCCAGCCTGCCATTCAACTTCCTTGAGTCCAAATCCTGAAAAAGACTAAGTGTGAACATGAAGGTTTCCGATGGATGTTTTCTCTCATCGTCACTACTTATTTTAATAATCTCTCAGAAAGGTGGAGGAGGTTGCTCAACTACCCTTACATCACAATTTAGGTCAAAGGGGAAGTCCTTTAGAGTCGTCTTGATTGATGCCATTGCCTGTAAATACACACATAATTGGTATTCAAAAATAACATATGAATATATATATATATATATATATATATGACCGTAATACGTGTAGGCATACTTCTTCAAGAACACAACCCCCGTTGTGCTTGAAAAGCACTTAAAAACTCTTCATATGAGCATTTCTGTAATACTTGCTCATTTTATAAAGCTTAGTCGAGAGCACTTCAATATAGGTATACGAGTTCTTTCATTCTTCATCCCTAATTATCAATGAAACTTCATGCTTATAACATCTTACCAACCCATGTACATTTGATGGGATAGCATTGAAACCAACTAAAATTGTTTCATCCTTTTTGTTGCTTCTGCGGGAAAACCACAGAAGTTCGCAATTACCCCACGGACATCCGGCAGTGCTTCTCACGGGCGTCCATGAAAGCATGGATTTTTCTTTTGCTTCCACAGATTTGGTTCCAACATTCTATGCTTCCATGGCATCTGTACTTCTAAATCTCATTTTTTTCTTGATAATTTGTTTCTTTTGGCACTTGTACCATTGTACGACTGTTTTAGTAAGATTCTTTCCATGTAGTATGCAAAAACAGTTCTCCGTTGTTATTTCAGTACATAATCGTACATTTCCTCGTTTTGCCAACATTTGGTTCTTTTCTTCATGGTGGTATTGTTAAGAGTTATTTTTTTGGCTTATATAGCTACATATTCTAGTTGGATGTAACAAATCTGTTCTCTTTTCATCACCTTTTGATTTTAGACATTAAACGTCTAAATTTCTCAAACACGACATTGATACCAACACAAATAAAAAGCCCTCCACTGGTAATCTTTTTCAAGCCCTCCACTGGTAACCTTTTTCCTAGAAGTGTTTTAAACCATTTAGAACCAAAGTTGTACTTATTAAGATTGGTAGTTTTGCAATTTCTAACACCAAACACAGTAGAGGAAGAAAACAGAAACGTGGGTGTTGATCACCACTTTGCGAGCATGAGATGCATAATAATTTAAGTATATTTTGATATAGAGGGAGGATCAAATTAGAACGGTACCTATTTAAAGTGACATGAAAACGGGCAAATCACATGTGATTTTACACTAACATCACATATAAAATCACATGTGAATGCGACCTAGTCCCGCGACCTGAATGCGTCTTCAGCCACAAGTCGCCCGGACACTTTCTTTGACCATTAATGTAAAATCACATTTGATTTTGCACGTGATTTGCCCGTTTTCGTGTTCTTTTTAAGAGGTACCTTTCTCGTTTGATCGTGCCACTTGAGATATATATATATATATATATATATATATATATATATATATATATATATAGACAGACACACGTGAGAAGCGTAAGAAGGGATCTCCACCCTTAGATGCACGTTAGGATAGATGCACCGAGATGCACCACATCAATCCCCTTATCAAGCACGATTCANATATATATATATATATATATATATATATAGGTTTGGGTTTCGGTGAGAAGAAGAGTTAAGGTGAGAAGCGTAAGAAGGGATCTCCACCCTTAGATGCACGTTAGGATAGATGCACCGAGATGCACCACATCAATCCCCTTATCAAGCACGATTCATGGGTGGGTTTGAGATTAAAGGTGATCAAGGGTCCAGATCCCTTCTTACGCTCTCACCTTAACTCTCCTTCTCACACTATCCTACGCCTATATATATGAAAGTGTTTTTTCTTGTTCATGCCTATAAATTGAAACAATGTGCATTTGCATGACATTGCTTATTGATTAAATGTGCATAAAAGGTAATTTCATGAAGAAATTATGAAAGATGCGGATTGGGATGCCGAGTAAATTGAATACATTGAGTAGTTTCTCCTAAGAAATTTTGACAAGTGTCTTGTGCCTTCTTTGTGGGGGCATCCTTCACTGGGTGGATTGGGACTCCAAATAAACCAAAATCTGAAAACAAGTTTGCGGTGGGCACACACTTCTTAGATGGTGAAATAATGCATTGAATGCAAAATTTGATATAATGCACACAAAATTGTTTATGGATGAAATGGCATGAAAAGATGGATTGAAATTGTAAACCATGTGTTTCACCCAGGTTTGGCTTCAAAGTGTATTCATGCATCTCAAGAAAATGTTAAAAGGCTGAGAAATTGAAATCTGTTGGAAGCATGAATCCAGGAGAAAGCTTTTGATATGTTCTAAAAGTATAGTTTAATAGATGATTAACTTACAAGATGAATAAAACTGTGGAAAAAGAGAAGACAGAATGGAATTCGTAGTTGTGGAGCTTTTGGAGGTGGAACCGGAAGAAGATGATAAAAATCATGTATAGAAGAGAAGTGACAGTGACAGAAAAACCCCAGACAAATATGGTGTCTTGTTCTCATTCTAATAAGGCTGTTTGCCTTTTGGCTCATTATGCGTCAGTGATTACAGTCTGAAAATCTATTAAGGGGCCATATCGCTCGCTGATGGCTCATTGTGAGACATTTAGAATATTATTGGGATGATGTAAGGTCTGATGGAGGTTCTTGGCCTCCCATATAAAATGGAGACACTTGTGTTAAATAATTCGAGTCTATATACCCTTGTAATGCAAAATGCATCTTTCGCGTTTCTTGTACAAATGTGACCAATGTTTCTGCAAATTGCTTGCATCCAGGTATGAAGGCCTATCGGAGAAGTTTCTATCATCTCCTGTACCAAAGCTGTTGCTGTTAGCTGGAACAGATAGACTCGACAGGTCCTTGCTTTTGCTATTTAATTGATCTTTGTATGCATGACTTAATTAATTTGAAAGATACTCTTTGCTGTAACAGGGCTCTTACAATCGGACAAATGCAGGGAAAGTTCCAAATGGTGGTTGTCCGACATACTGGCCATGCAATACAGGTGATAATTCAATAAGCTCTCTAAATCCACCATAGTTTAAGCTAAAACCATTGAATATCAATCACAGGAAGATGTACCCGAGGAATTTGCATCACTTATACTCAATTTCATCGCACGCAATCGAATAGGTCCTTATGGAGTTGAGGTTGGTTGTATGATTATCTTAAATTCTCATAGATATTGCATTGTCGTTTATGTTAATCTTTGAATTGTATAAATTTGTGTTGCAGATTCCAGGAATCCGCCGGCCATCACAGCCACATGGTTGAACAATGATTATATGAGAGGGCCTGGTGCAAAATGATTAACCATCCATCATTCATGCGCGAATGAAGATTAGAGTTATATTATTGCTAATGGTCTGGTAGGGTTCATCCTTAAACTTTTGTTAAATACAAATCAACTTGCATCCTCAAATATGGCACAAGTTGTATGTATAATTGTGTTATGGTTCACTGATGTTCTCTTTGTCCAAAATCAACATATGTCTTTGAATTCTTCTTTCCATCTTGATATTTTAAGACACAATTACATGAGTATACAGGGGACTATGTATCGCCGTGAAATGGGAGAACGCATATTAGATGGAAATGGTGTATATACGTAAGGATTAGACTCGAGGATTGCTTTTGATGGGTTTCTCAAATGAAAGGGATTGATTTGAAGCTTATTGTCCATTGATTTTGTTGTATAACGTAAGTAGTGTACATCTATATATATATATATTTTTTTTGTTTGACATAACATTCTAAACTCTAAGAAGATATGAAAGACTCAGAAATTTTTCGATGTCTTTGTTGAAGAGCTTCGATGGGTTTTTATACTTGAATCCGTTGAGTAGATGACCGGCATCTTCCAGTTGCCTTCATAATAATGCAATTTGAAACCGGCTCATTGGAGTAAATCAATTATCTGAATTATTCGTCCTTTTTTTTTGTCGTTGTTGGGATGAATCCGTCTTGATTAAAATGAATCCGACATATCGAACCTAACGTCTTGACTAAAACGAATCTGACATATCAAACCTAACATCTTGACTAACCATGCTTCATGACAACTTCTTGACACACGCTTTATGACCATAATGTCAAATAAGGAATCTTGACTACAACGTCGAATCAATGATGGCACCACCTTTTTGAAATTCAGAAGCATGATTATCACCTTGAATTGACTGTAATTTATATATATATATATATATATATATGAGTTTTTTCAATATTTAAAATACCTATCTCCCTAAAATTAATTTTTACTTTCCAATCCTTTCATTTAAAATTTTCTCATATCCCTTTTTATATAAGTTATGAAAGCTACATAAGATCTATAAAATAATGAAAGTTACATAAGATCTATAATATAAACTTTACAGAATTTAGAAACGTAGAGAAATCCATCGCTACCATCTTAATAGTATGAAAGCACCAACTAATCCCTTAATTTTCACCTAAGCGGGTTCTCGAAAATAACAAGGATGGGCTTATACATGCCATCAAAATAAATCGAGCCTGGCTTAAAATGCTTTTATTGCGGATATTATCCAAGTATAGATAAAAGATCACAATGTAATATATGTTTTAAAGAAATTTGTTACATTTGCCATATTATTTATTTTTAATTTATGTAATTCGGCTACTATTTCAAGTTTTTCAATTTTTTCATTATATACTTCAGTGTCAATTCCTTTCTTTTTAATGTCTTTATCTGTATTTAATTAAACATATGTAAGATCTAAGAAACCAAAGGTCAAAAAGCCTATAAAGACTAGTATGTTAAAGTCTAAAAGAAAACAGGAAATATGTCGGATGGAATCGTCATTGCTTTCGTCAGCTTTTCTAGACATCTCTATATGTACTGTTGACTGATACTGGTGATGATGGATCTATATACGGATCTGAATCTGGAAATTCTCTGTTGTTGACATCTATTGGGCATATATGACTTTCTCCGATAAACGGCAAATACATATCCCAATTATAATGTGACCAAATCTGTAGGTAGTGTCCTTCAGCAAGCAACTTGTAATTATTCTATGTGAATGATACAGGTAGCTTGGGTGTCTCTTGACCTTGCTGTATCCATGGCTCTATGACATCGTTGGGGTGTACGTCCTTCATATGATTAAAACAAATAGCTGTTGAACAAGCTAGTTTCTTTAAATATTTTTGTTCTTCAATTCTGTGGCTAATAAATACTCGCTTTCTAGCTGGCCTGTATGTATAACTGTCTGCTTCTGGTAACGAGGAAAATATTTTACATCCAATTGTTGGTGCATCCGAATAAGAGGCAATATTTCCAGCTGTTAAAATAAATTTTTCTCCAAATTTGTCGAGGAGTTCTTCTGTCTTTGGATTTAAGTTGAATTCCATATAATCAATCATACCGTTGTGGTAGAAATTGAGAATCTGTTCTAAAGTCAAGGTTGCTTTTCTTAAATCGAGTTGTAATAACAGCCTATTGTGTACTAGAGAATTGTGTGTTCTTTGAACTATTGTTACTCCTTTGTATTTATCTTCATTGAATGCAATGTCGATAACCTGTTGTTGTAGCTCCTAAAGAATGAGAAGGAATTCTGTACAAATCTTCTGTGAAATAATGCCATCTAATTCAGGATTTCGATCCAAAATTGGTTGCATTGTCTGTCTCCAAGGAATATCGATAATCCTTGCTTTGAAGCTGTTGAAATCTCTTTGTAATGCTGTGTATGTTTCAGATTCCTTTTTCTCGAGTTTTGTTTGTAATTTTAAAAGTTTTTTCTCGAGAATAGAATTCTTTTGTTTAAGAATTGAATTTTCAATCTGGATCTGTGTAGACTGTTGATTTTTGCCAGATTGCATGAGCTATTGCTGTAATTTGGCAATAACTTCTTCTTGAGCTTTAATCATTTGCTCAGGATTTGTTTTTGCCATGTCTGAAAAAGTTTTTACTTCTTCGGGCTCTATGTAAAAGCTGTTTAACCCAAAGGCTTCCCTTGCACTATTCATGGCTTCAGAAAAACTGTAATAGCCTTTGAATACTGGGTTGGGACACTGTATATATTTTCTCATTGTTTCCCAGTTATTGAAAATTCAAATTTTTGTTCCTCTATAAACCACATAGTGGGAAAAATGTCTTGGTTGTTTTTGAGGAGTTGTAAGTTTTTGCTCAGAAAAATAAACACTTAACGCATTTAAAACCTGAACTTTAAATGATGAAGCCTGTGGCATAGTTTGAATATGCCATAAGTTGTCTAATAAACACTGTTGTTCATCTTTGAGTTCTATTCCAATTATTGGTCGAAATTTCTTATTCATATCATAACATTTTGATAGAGGATATCTTTCAAATGTTATGATAGAATCATTTTTTGCGTTTTCAGAGGAACTAGAGGAATTGGGATTCCATTGTTTAACTTTTGAAGGATTAAAATGTTTTAAAAATTGTGGATCCATGATGGGATTAAACTGTTGAGACTGCAGACAACTATGCTGTGCATTGATGGCAGATAGCATCAATCTATTCTCTGTATTCTCTTTCTTGTCTTCGTCTGAAGAAAGACTCATAAAAGATGATGTACTGTATTTTTGCTGTATGGGTTGTATCACCTTTCTTTTGCCTTTATCTTTTTTATCCATCTGCAACAAATTAACAAATAGATTTTGATAAATCTGTTGAAATAAATTTGATCCAAAAACCTGTTTGTTTCATAGATAATTCTAAGGATTTTAATCTTTCTTTCATATTTTTATAGTGAAGATGTTTTGGATGATAAGAATCTTGAATGTTAGGGTTGCTTTCTAAGTCTTGAATTTCTTTTTCTAATTCTTTAAGTTGCTTAAAATTTGAGGCTTGCTGTTTCCAATATTCTTTGAGATACTGTGTTCTTATTTTATTATTTTGATTACAATTTATTTGAACTTTATTGCTCATGTCTTAAATAGTTTGTTAATATTTCTAGATAGCATATCTGCTATCCCATTATTTTTTCCTCTAATATTTTCAAAATTTATTTTGTATCCACATCCTTGTATAATATTTTGTAAATTAATTCATCGTGTCCTATTAACTTTTTTGCTTTGATCATTTTTTATAAAGCGAACTATAGCTTCRCARTCTGTTCTTACTGTAAATTCATTATGTAAAAATATTTTAAATTTTTCTAAAGCATTTATTAGAGCTTGTATTTCAAAATCTAAACTCGTCCAGTTCATACCTGTTTTGTTAAAGTTTCCACCGGCATATGAGCATATTTTTTCTGTTTCTTTAGGGCTATATTTATTAGGTTTACAAAGAAGCACGGCTCCCCATCCTTTTTTACAACCATCTACTTGTATAATTATATAATCTGTGACTAGTGGTAGTTCTAGGGGTTTGATATTTCTAACTGCCTCTTTTATTATTCTAACCAATTTTATATCTTCATTGTTGAAATGTCTTTGTCCATTATATCTTCATAGTAGTCCAGTAAGGCTACTAAAAATGGACAAAGACATTTCAACAATATATATATAGGGTTGGGTTCATGTGAGATCAGCCTATTTTCGTGAGACAAAAAATAACATTGAAACTTTACAACAAATTAAATAATTGTGAAGGTAAAAAAAACTTCGAACTTTCACAACAAAAACACTGTCCTTTTTAGTTTGTTGTAAATGTTTACTGTTATTTAAGTGGTTTCACGGGTCTCATGAAAACGGTCTGGTCTCATATGAACCTAAGTCTCTCTCTCACTCTCTCTCTCTCTCTATATATATATACCCACACATAGAGAGAGAAAGAGAGAGAGGGGGGAGGTTCAGGGGAAAACCTCAAAAATAATGAAAACCCGGAAAACACTCTCGTAACCATTCATTCAGATGATATGTACATGCGCATACAGATAATTGAAGTCGTTTCTTAGTTTTTGTGCACATGTGCATACAAGTAATTGAAGTTGTTTCTTGGTTTTTGTTCATGTGTGCATGTTATGCAGATGTGCGTACCAAACAAATTGCTTACAAAAAGAAATAGTATAAACTTTGTTAATTGGGTTATTTTCGTCTTTTTTCTTATTCATATCACATTCCTTAAATATCTCATTCCCTTATTTATTACATTTCTTAATTACCAGATTTCTTAATTATTTCATTCATTTAATTGTTTCACCTATGAACTTTGTTAAAAGTTTTGGAACAACCAAAGTTCGTACACAAAACAAAATTATAACTTTAGACAAAAATATTTGTTTTTCACCTATTAACTTTAAATAAAAATCATTGTTCCACTTTCCGGTCTCACATATGAACTTTGATTATCTGGTTTCACGTATAAACTATAAACAAAAATCATTGTTTCACTTTCTGGTCTTTATGGTTTATCTTTAAACAAAAGAATTGTTTAAATATTATTGTTGATTATCTTCTAAACATAAAACTTGATTATCTTTCAAAAATATAAACAATTTGTTCTAAAAATGCCCTTCATACAATAACATTTAATTTGTTTCCTCTTCTATCAGATTATAATCTCCCATTTAA